GGGGGGGGAATAAAAAGGAAAAATCCAGCACGTGATAGATCATGAAATCAAGGTGGTGGTGTTCGGGGGGAGAGTTTCCTACAGTCGAGCAGAGAAACGCTTGTAGTTTTGGTGAGGATTTCAGCATCTGGTCCCGCGTCCCCCTCCCCCTGCCCGATACGCCACCTCTGCTTCAAAATTCAGAGTATAGCGCGCTACTTCCCCTCCGCCCCTTCGCTGCGGAGCCGGCTGCGCTCCCCAGGCGATTGCACAACGCTTGGAACAGCTGCCTTGGAAGCGGGTACTCGGGAGAGGAGCGGATGCCTCCCAGCCTTTGGAGGGTCCGGGTGCGCCTGCATCAAATCCTCAGCGCGGAAGAGGCAAAATTTGGAGTCTGTAAAGCAAATGGGTGAACTGGAATTTTAGAGAGCTGCTTCGCTTCAGTTTGCTGATGGCGGGGGCAGAGGGAAGGAAGGAGCTGTCTGACTTCTAAAATCACTAAATTTTACTTGAAGACAAGCATAAAAACACATAGACCCACAGTCATTCCAGGGTGATGATTTGGCATCGCTGAGCCTGCAAAAAAACTTGACATAATATCTGCTTTTTTAAAACGGCAAAGCGTGTCAAAGTCTCACTCTGACAAAAATCCCACTCGGCGAAGGCAACACGACTGATGGCACTTCCGTTAGAGAGCGCATAAACTGAGGGGTCATCAGAAATACACCGAGACAGGCAAGAGGCACTTGAAAAAGAGAAGGCTCAACAGTTTGAAAATTCAAGAGCAGGCATAGCGAATTGTTTGATATCGAGGAACAGAAAGTGAAAGGCTTTTCCAGCTACTTATGAAGTTCACGAATGAAACCGTGACCTCTTTTACGCAAAATGTTGTGAGCTTGGTGAAGTGGTAACTTCTGAAAAAAAAAACTCTCAAGGATACCATCATTTTCTTCATTGTCCATTACATTAAGAAACGTTTATAGTAATACAGGATAGGTTTAATTGAATTTCATTTTGCGTAGCTGGTATATGGGCTGAAAACTCTTCCAAGATTAGAAGCCGTATTTAGTTAAAACACTGGGGACGAAATCTATCGTTGCATCTTCATTACATCTTATGAAATAAAAGGAATTCTCTGATTTTGTGAGATGTACGAGCAATACAAAAATTTGGGTTCTCATACTACTGGGAAAATAACTGGATGCCTGTCGGTGTAAGGATTTATTGTATTTATCAGTCTATTTAAAGCTGAAGGAAAGAAGGGAATCAGTCCCTTTCACTGTCAGGGAAGTATCTGTATCGCTTTCTGTTTATTTCATTTTTCAATGCAAACAAACAAAAAGAAGCCAGTGGGGAGTGTCACAAACCTTACCCTGCAGCCACTGGAGCTTTCCACTGGAGTTAGTGGACAAGGGTTCGAGCCTTTAGCCATGGCTACGCTTACCTCGCGCTGTACGCTGAACCACAATTTCTAAGGCTTTCTGAAGATCAAGGCAGGTAACGATCTTTCCCTAAGGAAAAAAATTACCTCTGTTCACACACTTGTGAATCTCTCAAACTGAAAATAAGCATCTTTTGACAGTGGTGAGGCTGCTGCTGTATCTTTGGTTTTTCTTCAGGAAAAGCCTGAGTTTTGGACTGAACATTTAACCCCACCCCTTTACTAATCCTGAACTCTGGTGCTAGATATTTAATGCCCTTCTAATGTATGGCAGCAAGAACTATTTTTAAGTCACTGTGTTTCTACATTTGTAATCCATAATTGTCCCTCATTTGATTAAAAATCATCCCCTTTATTTCTCATTAATCTGGTTTTTGTACACAAATTACCGTACTTGAAAGAATTTCATCCATGCTTTCCCCACTTTGTGGAGATGTATTCATCACACTTGGAACTACTTCAATAGGCGTTTATATAAAATCCTAATAGTAAATAACTAAGAAGCGAAAAGAGACTGTTTACGTTTCAGTGCCAGCATTCTGAGACAATTATTAACGCCCTTGCTTATTTACAGATATATTTCCTCTTCTTAAGAATATCACTTAAAGCCACAGAATGTTCAGTGCTTTTTTTGAGCACTGAATCTGTTCCGCATTTCAGAGCTGAACTAACCTTAGGCTATCCCTTTCTTGCACTACTTTGCTTTCTTTCCTGAATGTTTAAGATCAGGAACGTAGACTTGAAAAGCTGAGTTTATAGATAAAGTAAAACGTGAACCTTCCTTCTATCATTTACCACCCAAACCGGTAACTGTTACTCAGCCTTATAGATACTCTGAAAATTTACCAGCAGAGATACCTCGTTTTCCTTATTTGTTATGATGGCGGGAGTGTAACTTTTTAACTTATAAACAACAATCCAGAGAGTGAGCAAGATTTTGGACAATGGACTGTGTTTGTCCCTGTGCTTGCTCTTTTTCCCTGGAATTCACATATTGCATGGGAATGGGAGGATACAAATACTTTGTGCTGTGCTCTGTTATGCTTTTGTTTGCGATTGAGAAAGCAAGGTGAAATGTGCTTTCGTGGTAGCTTCACAAACTATCTGACTTACAGTTTTCTTTTGCCTTAACCCAGGTTTTAAGCGGTTTGGGAAGTTCCTTTGGAAGATACTGAATAGGCTGCTACAGAACAGGGGGAAATTGTCAACTGTTCTCGTTGTAGAGGAGTGGGAAATGCAGCTTACTCAGTCATCCACCCCTGCACACTGCAGCTGTCAGTGTCTCCAGGTTTTGTAGTTGCGCTCGCGTTATCTTCAGAGCATTCCTTTCAACCTGCGTAGGCCCAGAAATGGGTCAGTAAAGCCTGCGAGCTAGGGAGGGATGCACACTAATCTTTAAATGTGAATGTTTTTGCAGTGAGTGATGGCATCCGCATCCTTGCCTTTGTAACTCAGCTCGGCATACATCAAGGATGTAGGAGTAAAAAGCTGATACTAAATTTGAGGATAGGTTACAAATAAAATTGCTTATTTTAAAGTGCACTAATGGTCAGAATTATCTGTGTGCTAATGAGGTGCGATTGAAAACCATGCTGAGTGTATAAAAAACATATTCTTGGAGCACTTTGTTGCTTTCTGGTACAGGCTGTTGTATATGGAATATTTTGGATTTTTCTAATGCCTCCCCTTCTCTTTGCTTGCTTGTAACTTCTGAGGCCATTTTATGTTTTTTATAGAGTAGGTTTTGATTCTCAGACGACGCAGAACACACCAAATGCAAAATTACTACTGCAGTTGTCTAATTTGGCTCACTTAGGTCAAAGTTTTCTTAAAACTTCAGTCAGGAGAAAAGCTTATTAATGTCTATATAGAAAGTGTATTCTAGCTTTACTGAGAAATACAATAAAAAAGTAAATCTGGTAGCCTTAAGGAAGCCTAAAATGCTGTGACGAAAAAAATATCTGTACCATGCTGAAAAGACCAGGGGGATGCTGAGTACTGTTGAAGGAATACTAAGCACTACAGCTATTCAAATATTTAATTGCAATAGATAAATATGTTATAAGTAAATTTGATTCCAGTTAAAGTCTAATGAAATTAAACGCATGCCCTTCAGGCATGAGAACTTCTTTTTCTTTTTTAAGGTTTGACATGGAAAAATGTTTTTATATGGCATAGATTTCCAATGAAAGGCTATCAGGTAATAACAGCTATTCATATTTTTTACTGTAATACAATAGTATCATATAGAAATAGCGCTGTTAAACCTACAAAAACATTTCAGGAATCCAGTGTTTCAATAGCTGTTCTGCTGGGTTTTGTTCATTGACAAATCACATGAACAGAAATCAATACTCTTTTTTCCAGTGTTTTAACATCTTTTATAACATACCTATTCTCAACATGCAAGCAGCAAAAAGTCACATCTCCAGGGAATTTATTTTAAACACATCTAAATATCATAAATCACACGTGCTTGTTTGAAATGCTCTCTAAAAAGCAGACCATTTTGATAAATGATTATAAATACCGTGAAATCATGGGGTTTGAGAACTTCTGATTGGTTTCTGAAACACATAAGTAAGAAAAGAGAGCTGCAAATTTGTAGTCAAAAATAATTGTGTAACTGATTTATCAATATGTCTGTGCTTTTCAGCGTGGTTGTAAATGGAAGGAAGAAAAAATATATAATAAAGCATAGCTTTTCTGGAAAGAGTTAATTTGTTTGGTATCCAGTACCAAGGCATCTCTTAACATTAAAAAAACAACAGCAACAACAAAACACCTCTGTAGATTTCATAAATGAAACAAGTTCAGAATATGATGAATAATATTCATACTTTTAGGTGAAAACTTCTAAGGCTGATTGCTTAGCAAATTTTGGGCTACCTGGTTGACTACTTGCTGGATTGTTTAATAGACGAAAATTTGCAGTATGTTCACTTTTGGAAATACAATCAGGAACTTTTCTAGGACTGTAAGATTTTTAAACACTATTTTACTGATCCATTTCCAGAATTCTTTGCCCATAGCCAGAGTAATTTTGTGTGGACAGAAATAATTATGGCCTCTAATTATGTATTTCTATCTGTTTATATATATCATTCAGTAGGATTTACACTCTCCCCCCTGCCCTTTTAGAGACATCAGGGTCCCAATCCAGATGTTCACTGGAGCACAAATGTTTTTGTGAGAAGGTCTGTTGACTCTAATGAACTACTGAAGTGCTCAAGGTTTTTTAGGCCATTGGAGCTTAATTCTGTTACTCCGTTTTAAATCTTTGGCACAGGAATGTAATTGCAAGTTATTCTTTCATTATTTGGTTTTAAGCACTATCAAGGAT